GGCCACTACAAGTCCCTTGGTCAACAAAAAATTTTTATTAATTTTTTTTCACAAGAAAAAACATCCTGGGCACCCAACTAGCTGCCCAAAGTCCATGGTACTCCCAAGGGTCCCCATTCCCAGGCTGTGACATTGCCCAAATGATGCTCTCCCCTGCAGACATGCTTTCTCCAGACCTCCCCTGGCTTACCCAGCCTCAGAACATCAGCTCTGTTTCCTGTGGGGAAACTGAGGCACAGAGCTCTCCCCTCTGCTTCTCAGCCTCCCAGCAAGTGCCTGCCCAGGGGGAACTCTGGAGCCAAGGGAGTGCCTGTGAATCCACCACACCCTCTGCTCTGCAAGCCCCTCATCCTGCACCACTCCAGCTGTTCCAGATGTTTTCCCCACCTCCCAGCTGTTGGGTAGCTCAGGAGGCCAGTGCTCCCCTCTCAGCTGCGTTTTCCTTCCAGGTCTCTGCTAAACCCATCACATCCACGGGCTCTGCTCCACTTTCCTCCTCCCAGGCTGCTTCTGCAGCGAGCAAAACCCACAGATCTTCCCACACAGAAAAATGCAGGGGAATTTACACCATCGTGGGGGGATTTGGGCCATCCTGGGAGGGATTTTGGCCACCCGGGGGGATTCTGGCCCACCCAAGAGAGGCTGTGCCAGAGGAGCTGGGGGAGCTGATGGGAGCAGCATTCTCATCCTGGCTGTGGGGAAGGGGAGATTTGTGCCCCTGTAAATGGGGCAGGGACACACTGCCAGCGTCCCCCAAACCCCAACCCACCGGGAGACCCACTGGGGTATTCCTGGTGGGATTTCCTGTGAAATCCTAGGAGTGTGAAGGCTTCCTGGGGGTCCTTCATGTGCTGCTGGGAGCAGGAATCTGTGCTGTGCTCCACCTGCAAGGCACTGTCACCCTGGGAGCCCCATCCAAGCCCTGCAGTGGCCCAGTCCTGCCCCTCCTGGGTGGCACAGCTGGCTCAGCCTCGGGATGGGCCCTTTGCTCCCCAGTCTGCACCACATCTGCCATCAGGGCCAGCAGCACCCTGGGTATCAAAGGCACCCCAGGCACCTGTCAGTGGGCACAGGGACACCTCCCACAGCAAGGGGAAACTGAGGCAGGAAACCAACGCTAGGAGAGGCTGCAGACCCAGAGGGACAACAGGGAGCTGCCCCGTGTCCCCCCAGTGCCACAGCTTGGAGGGACAGCGACAGAGGGGTACCCAAGGACTGGGTCCCCCCCCGCAATGCACTGACCGTGCACTCCCGTCCCTCCCTCCTCTCACCCCGGTGGGGCTGACGGTCGGTCCCGTCCCAGCCCGGGGCAGCTGTGACCGCAAACAAAGCTGTCCCCTCCGGCACAATACCCTTCTGTCCCCCCAGCTGCTGACCGCTGGGGTGGGCAGCGGCCGGGCTGGAGGCGTCGAGGGGCCGTGCCAGGCCCCCGCTGGCAGGGGACAATGTTGGCAGTGATGGAGAGTAGGTATTTCAAAAGGTTTTGTTTTCGGGCTGACCCGCCGAGCCGGCGTGACCCCGCAGCCCCCCACCCAGCCCTGCTCCTCCGTCCCAATAGAAACCGGCCACATTCCTGACCTCGAGGGGGGGGGAGCTTCAAACCTCCCCGGGAAGGAGACAATGGGGGTGTCAGGGCAGTGATTTAGGAGGGGGGGCTCTTTCCATCACAAAGGCGAGACAAAGGCGCTCGGCGCTGGGAAAGGGGCTTCGGCGGCGGCTCAGGAGAGGGGCCGGGGTATTGTGCCT